TAAACCCATGTTGTCTCGGATATTGAAATCCATGTGATTTTAGATGTTCAACAATCCTATCCTTTAACGTGGTTTCCATTACTTTCCCCACTACTGAAGTAAGGCTTACTGGCCTATAGTTGCCTGACTCCTCGCTACTGCCTTTCTTGTGAATGGGTACAACATTCGCCAACTTCCAATTGTCTGGACTACTCCTGTTAACAATGATTGGTTAAATAAATCTGTTAATGGTTTTGCTAGTAGATCCACTAAGCTCTTTTAATAACTTTGGGTGTATTCCACCAGGTCCCATTGACTTATTTGTCTTTACTTTTGACAGTTTAAATAGAACCTCTTCCTCTGTAAACTCAAATGTAACAAATGACTAATTTGTCCTTTTCCTAACTGAGGTCCATCTCCTTCATTTTGATCTGTAAACACTGAACAAAATATTAATTGATGTAGTCAGCTAGACTTTTATTTTCTTCTACATACCTTCCTTCCATTGGTTTTAATCTAACTAATCATTGTTTTATTTTCCTTTTCTCATTTATGTATATAAAAAATGTTTTTTCCCTTTTTTTACTGACTGTGCTGTTTTCTCTTCTGTGTGTGATTTGGAAGCTCTTATAACTTGCTTAGTCTCTTTCTGCCTAATCTTAAAAACCTATCTTCCTCTTGAATATCAAATAATGTCCAGGAGTGTTCTGGATGGTCAGAAGCCATGATAGGCAGTTAATATAAACATATGATTATGATTTGTTAGCAATGCTTGATGGGTACAATCCTGTAAGAAATTGGCTGGTGAAGTATAAGAATGGTGGAAACAACAACCACTTTAAAGAGGTCCAACTCCACCTACTAATGCTTTTAGCCAATGACAGTCTGGGATCTGACGGCCCTAGTGAAAGCGGACAGAAGAAATGCTGGTACAGCAGACTAAGCATGTGTGAGGAAAGGATTACACAGCCAAATGATCATGGTCGCATGGTCCCAGCTGGCCAGTATAAACACCGGAGCAATTGAGGATGAAATTGTTGAGTTCATGTCCTGAGCCATTATATACAAATTACACAATTTGTCTCTTAATTTCAGACACAATATTATGTTTCCATATCCCACATTGCACAGCAAGTGACATCGCAGTATGAAATTAAATTTATATTAAAAATGCCTTGTTTTGCACAATGCGGAACCCCTAATTTAAGTGGGGTGCCAGAAGATACACATTCCAGTCTGCCTAAGATTAGGGAGAGTTTCACTTTTAGGTAGTAGTTACTAGCTGCATTAATTTAGCACCTCTTCCTTTAATTATATGCCGCACAAGTCATAAACACACACCCTATATCTGCTTAGTTAAGAGAATAGTATTGTTTGAATAATGAAGCCCCAATAGGGGACACTTTATTAGAAATGTCTGTACACCTACACTGTGATCAGCGAATTACGTGGCATCAACGCAATGCATGAAATCTTGCAGACATGGTCAAAAGGTTCACTCAAGCCAAAGGCTCAGAATAGGAAAAAAAATGCAATTTCTAATACATTTTTGACCATAGAATGATATTGGTACCAGATGTGGTGGATTGAATAAAATACTGATTGCATGGGATTTTTTTTCCACAAAAGCCTCTAGAGAGAATGAGTGTCAAAGTAATTTGCTATTATAGATCAAATCTTAATGTAAAGGTCAAAATAGAGGGCTGCATATTACACAAGAAAAAAAGAAAACAAAAAGGGACACATTCTCAGCAAGCACAAATTCACATTCTAAAAACAGAAAAGGTTTCTGTTTTACAACACTGACAGGCAGTGGCAGAATTACCGCAGTTGCAGGCATCACAGCTACATCCAGGACCATTAACAGAGAGGCCGGCCGCTGTCTCAACCACCTGCAGCTGTGTACATACCGAGGTCACAGAGGTTGTAGCTGCGAGTGGGTGCCCGCCGCCATGTGTTGTGGCCCTGGCCCGCATGGCAAACCACCGGGGCCGCACGTTCAAGGGGCCTATCAGGTGACCCATGCTGTTAGGGCAACTTGATGGAGATCCCATCACAGCTGGGAGGAAGTGACTGACAGTCATTCCTCCCAGCTATCAGCGAGAGCCCGTGCAGGAGGAAGGAGAGGAAGGCAGAGTGGGAACTCTGACTCCCACCAGCCTGAGCCACCACTGGACCCCAGGGAAAATCATCCTCCTGCACCTAAAAGGTAGGAAACAGGAGGGTGACTTAAACATTTTGTATATGTGTGTATTTGTTTGTATGTATGTATGTATGTATGTTTCTGTGTGTCTGTCTGTGTATGTGTGTGTGTCTGTATGTGTCTCTGTATGTATGTGAGTGTATGTATGCATCTGTCTGTGTGTCTGTCGGGTGGGGGCCCATGGATCAGTTTCACACCGGGGCCCCATTTATTGTGTGTACGCCACTGACCACCTGAGTACCCCCTATCCAGCCCAGCCCCCTACAAGAAGCAGAGATACTAAGTGGGGACTGGCATTCTGTCAAAAATGCATACCGGCACCTGCTTGGTTGGCTGTTTGTGACACTACAGATGCTCAGCCACAGCCAACCAGGTGTGGAGGCATTCTGCATGTGGTGCTCGGGGGAGAGGAGGATATGGGAGCCATGAGGCATGCAGACACAAACTGGTACCTGGACTGTGAGTGGGGGAGGGGCACACTGTTCCTGGCCACCAAAAGGTTTTTTTTTACGGTAAGAACAATAAGGATATGGAATTCTCTGCCTGAAGAAGTGGTTTTATCGGAGTCCATACAGATGTTTCAAAATCAACTAGATGCATACTTGCAAAAACAGAATATTCAAGGATATAATTTTTCAATGTAGGGTAACAACTGCTTGATCCAAGGATAAATCTGACTGCCATTCTGGGGTCAAGAGGGATTTTTTTTTTCCTAGTTTGTTGCAAAATTGGAAATGCTTCAAACTTTTTTGCCTTCTTTTGGATCAACAGCAAAAAACAAATGTGAGGAAGGCTGAACTTGATGAACACGTCTCTTTTCAGCTTTTGAAACTATGTAACCATGTACTAGGGGAGGGGAATTTCTAAATTGAGGAGTAGGTGAAGCACCCCTTGTTTGAGGCAATGCTGGACAATGTAGTCCATCCTGAGTTATCATCATTGGAGATGCACACACATAAGAAGTGACCAGCTGCTAAATGCCCATGTGAGGAGTATCACTTATTATTGCTAGAGCAATATCCAGTGCCCTGCATGCGCTGTATTAACAGGGCATCCCTTGGGAATACTGGCAATCGGTTTATCAATGTAAAGAAGGGTATTTACGGCAATAGTTTTGTCAAAAAAATAAAAAAAATAAATAAAAAAACTGCCTCTGTGGGCCAGCTAAGAGTAACCAGGACAAGTGAAGTCAAATAGTTTTATCAAAGTCAGAGATGGGCAGGGAGCGTGAATGTTTTTAAGCGTGATGTCAATGGGGATATAAATTGTAAGTAATTGCCCCACCAGAATAGACCCAGCATTGTGTGATCATTAAAGGCTGTTACTGTGCCAGGTAAGCATGGGCATGGGAGATGCTAAGGGAAAGTGCCAGTATTAGCCATCAGATCACATGGTAGTAATAAATTATTCACCGATAATGGAATGTACCCCTTCTGTGCCTACACACACTGGGCAATAGCAATCTATATCACCCCAGGTCTATGCCACCTCTGAACAGGCTGGGTGGGGAAAATTAATTGGATGATTAACATTACAGGAGGCAAGTTTGTTCAGCTCATACTGACACCTATCTCCAGAGTGTGTCTCCTGAGAATGTATCTGCAGTGGTGGAGCTACCAAGGTCACAAAGGTCGCAACTGTGACCAGTCCCTGGATTTCCACCTGTCAGGGGAGCCTCAGAGGAGATGAAAAGAGCAAGCAGGGCAGCAGCAGGCAGCTTACTATATTCAGTTTGCTCATCTCCTACAGTCCATCACCGGTTCCACTGGTGTTATGTGATGCTCTGCACCCCCTCTACCATACCATTGTTGCATTGTAAGCATGCAGAAGCCAAACACAGAAATATTGGACACAGGTCTTCAGAAAGTAACAGGCCTTTATTCACATTACCGATCGGGTCTCAGATGAACTCCTGTTCCAAAAGATCTGAGAGACCAACACATAGTGTACATTCCTTATATAGCACTATAACTCCTCCCATTAATAGCTACACCCACATATACCTTTAACCAATCAATGAGCAGAATATAGACTTGTACATCTAGTCAAACCACATGGCTCATCCAAGACAAAGGAAATAAGTGCAATTTCAGTTCCTGCATTCCTGCACATGCTCAGTACACTGATGACAGTATCCTAGCTACATGTAGCTAACCAACTGACACAACATACACATATGCCACATGGAGATTTTGGCCTACTAAATTTTGACCATGCTGGAATCCCATCACATTCCCCCCTTTGATGCCTCTGATATAACATTATTCCAGATGCATCACCAATCACAGTTTTACCTACATCTCTCAAGTAGCCATTGAACCAGAGTAGACCTTGTAAGCATCTTAAAAACTCCTTCAACATTCTTCATCCTGCATATATTCTCTTCGGGGATCATATCTATAGACAGCCATTACATGAGCCGCTGTCTTTCTCTCTATAGTACTCTCTATAATACTACGTAGGGACCTTACCACTAGTGGAATTAGACAGGGCAGGAGGAGGCACAAAAAAAATATAATAAATTCTACTCCTCCTACTAATGTCTTAATTCCTCCAAGCTGCTCATACCAACTTCCAAACCAACTACTTAGGTTATACCCATTCCAGACCTGAGTAGGTACATGCACAAATTTAACCATGTGGCTTGTAAGTTCAGCCACTGCCTGCCCTTCATCATCTATGTGCAGACAACAGTTACTTAGATTAAACTTTCCGCATACACCTCCTTCTACTGCTAGTAAGTAATCAAGGGCTAGCCTATTCTGGTATATGGCTGATCACATCTTGGTATTTTGCTTAGCTAGAAGATTAAGCACTTGAGCTGTCTCATTAGTAATAATCTCAACTACCGCCTGTAGTAATGCGGTTGAGCATAGATAATCGGAGTTCTATATCCATAAGTGCCATCTTTTGCCCAAGTAGCAGGTCCATAATAATTAATAATACGTTGAGGGGGCCACTCATTATCTTCCCAGCTACCTATATTCAAGGATGCTCTCTCCCTTTTATGATTTACATCGTAAACCTTAACTCCCAAGGTCTCTCCTGTTTCGATTGGCAACAAGAAGAAGGATGGCTTTGGCATACCTAATACACATGCCCCTTCCCAATCTTGTGGTAACTCCGAATAAGTTTTCTTACCACAAATCCAGTATAAATTTGCTGGGGCTTTCCAACTAGATGTAGCCGATAAGTCAAACCATACCTCCTTTAAATGAGTGTAATTGGCAAACGGATTAGTAGGTTCCGAGACATTTGAAGCTGACCACCAAGTAGTATTTTTAGTATTAACATTATAGGCTTTTTGTCCCAAGCAAGTTAGCTCACCTACAGACGTGTTATACATTGTCCCTTTCCTGGCTATACAAACATGACCTATAATGGAGGGTTTTAACCACCATTCCAATTTACTTCTAGTACTTACTTGATGATCAGACTGGAAAGGTATCTGTTGTTCATATGTCTCAGAGCCAGGGTACCATATTTCCTTTGCCTCCCATGGCCACTGGTCTCCCATATTAGTACCTCCACACACATAGCAATTAGTTACATTAAGACTACCTGCAATACCCTCAGCCAAATCAATAAATAGGTTGTTAACATTATGGGGAATTTTATCCTCAATACTCATCTCCTCATAAAAGGAATGAGAAACCTGATGAGTTTGAGTTGCCACTGTCTCAGTTTCAAGACCTACATATATTATTGTTCCTGGATCTACTCCTGTGCCATATATTTGAAACCCAAACAGACCTCCAAACCTGTCAATAAAGTGCTGCAGATTGGAAATGGTCATGTGAACGGGGTTACACACATAGTTTTACAGTATGGTGTGGTAGGCAACCTTTGGATAATCATATCTTGATCCACTGTTTTTCCCAGGTTGCCCAACCTACACATGACAAATAGGGGCAGAAGTTAGTCTCTATTTGGGCAATCAGGATCAGTAGATCTTTTACTGGGACATAAGTATTTATCATTAAACCCATAAGTTCGTTCCCATTTAAGATTACCACATACATTCCAAAGTCTTCCACTACCCGAAATCGCCTTACATGCATCAAATAGTAGAATACCCGTGGAATGTATGGTGCTTATCACAGTCCTATTTATTAATGTCCCCTGGGAGTTACTATTCCGAATTACCAACCAAATTGTACGGGGTTGGAAATGGGGATCAAAACATTTAGACTCTCCTGATATTGGCTTGCACACACTATAATCAATATCCAAATATCTACATTTAGATACAGATCCCTTACATTCATACTGTGAGTGCCAGATGAGAGTTTGGGATATTTGGTTACCTGTTTTAGTAGTCTTAATGCAACTATCGCAATTCGGTATGTCTGTACTCCTACCTTCCTGAAAAATCATAAAAATACTAAGACACAATAAAACACATTATTCCTGAAATCCTCATTTTTCTTCGACCGTGCGATGGCCTCTCAGCTTCCCGATTGTGAGGGCTGCAAGGATGTTGTTCTTCTGATCCTCACTTTCCTTCACAGAGATCCCTTCAAGATACTCTGGCTATGACACGTAGGCAGGTGGTCAGGCTTTATTATGGCCGTCAAAACACCTACTTGATGATCTTTGTAGACTTTTAACTAGAATGTCTCGATATCCCCTCGTCACTCCGACTGAGTTGCACGCTTCAACCGGGTCCTGCAAGGATTCTCAGGATCTGGAGTAGCTTGCCAAGAGTCTGCCGCTGGTTTAACCTTAGAATGATGAATCCAAGGAGTCACTTCCGCCACCTTTACAGCTATTGGGGTAGATAAAAGAACAACATACAAAGGCTAACAGAATACACCCCGAGCTTTAACTCAATATGTATTGGTGGGATATTACGAGCAAGTCCTGGAGGATTATTTTCTTCCCATACTCCTGGAATGTCAAGTAAGGATTCATCACTCTTAGGGTTAATACTTGTCACTATGGAATAGAAGCGTCATTCTTCTTCCCTTGGCACCGATATCACCATTATGCCTGGTAATCCCTTAAACTTCAGAGATGTTGATCCATTAGGTAAAAGGTTATCTGAGCTTAAAGCTTCGATAATAGATCTCGTCCTAAAAGTTGAATCGGACACTCTGGCATATATAGGAACTAATGCTTCACCACATGGCCTCCCAGAATACAAGTGCGACTCTTAAGAACCGGTCTAGCTGCACTTCTCCCAGTAGCTCCTATCACAGTTATAGTCTTCCCCGAAGGCGGAGCCACCATCTTAGTCACCACAGAATGTTCAGCACCTGTGTCGATCATGAAAGAACTTCTCTTTCCCCCTATTGCTACATCGACCATAGGCTCCGCTCGACCAAGTGGGATGGAGCCCGGTCGGTATCAATAGTCTTCCATGATAGTGTCAGCCAGACCCACAAAATCTCTATCCTCTCTTTCTCTAGGTCTCTGCGTGGGTGGATAGTATCTGTCTCCTTGAACACTTCCTCTACTATTCCCATCATTCCCTCTAAAACTTCCTCTTACTCTATAACTACCACTATAACCTCCTCGTACCCTTCTCTCTCCTTGTCTATCACCTTCATACTGCTCTCTCTGTGGACACTCACTCTTCCAATGTCCCTCCTTTCTACAATACGCACATTAATTCCTACTTAAAGTCCCTTGCTCAGCCTATTCTCGTCTCCTCTATTCACTTCCCTGTCTTTCTACACTTAAGATAGCTACCGCTAGCATATCTGCCTTTTTCCTCATTTTACGTTCTTCCTCCATCTCCCTATTCATATATACTGTATTTGCAATCTCCATTAGCTGTAATATGGACATCCCTACAAATCCCTCAAATTTCTGTAATTTCCTTTTAATATCACCTTGGGCCTGGCTGACAAATGCTGGGTCTATCATTCGGAAGTTTTCAGGGGCTTCAGGATTGAAAGGAGTGTACAATCTATTTGACTCAAGCAGTCTCTAATATGGGACTTCGGCAAGGCTGCTCAATAATAGGTTCCAGTCTAGGAGTAGTAAGATAGGTGTAAGGGGGTGAGCTAATTTTATTAGTCGGCATTTGGTGGATGAAAAAACGTTTTTGTTTAAAGTGTTAAACCAAAAACCTACCAGTAGGTGTCACCAGAGGGTAATTGTATCAAAATAATCTTTATGGGTCTAATAAGAAAACTCAACTTTTAATATATTTATACATAAAATAAAACCTTATAGCAATAAATATATTAAAATAGGGTAAGCAATCCTACTTCTATCTGTTATAAACAATGTATTATCAATGTAACTCCCGAAGATGGCCCGTAGGTGGCCTAGAGTGCCTCCCTAAAGTCTAATGAAACAGATAGACTTTAATTAATTATGTCCCTATTTTATTATTACTTATTTTAATCACTGTCCACCCTGATATCTAGGCTTGATTAAATCTTTAGTTCTAAGGTAAATTAAACATTTCAGTTTGTAGTTTAGTAAAAGGGGACATTTTGGACAAAGCTGGGAGGGGCCCATCCAGTAACTAAAAAAAAGACCATATACCATCTGATACCATTGATCATTGATTAGGGGGAGGGGTAGTACAGAAATACAAGAGTTTGAAACACAGGAACAGATAGGTATGTGGGTAGGCGGGGACAGTAGAGCAGGGGGAGTGCAAATACTGACTATATACCAGTTTTTAGCTTGGGAAGAAGAATAGGGGCGTGGCTAATCTGGCTCTGGAGGATGTTTGGGGGGTTGGTAATCAGATGCCAGGGGGGAGGGGATGTCCAAAACAGTTGTAATTAAGTCCTTAGTTCTGACCACCATATGGCTACATTGTTTCCCATATGACACAGTTTAACTCACCAAGGCAGTTTTTCAACAATCAGTTTCCAACAGTCAATATATAGAAACTGATCATAGAATTCCAGCCTACTAGTTACAGCCACATGTACACCCTGCACTAAATTTAAGTGAAGACTGCTACATGGAGGCCATGCGGCCACCAGGACAGGCTACTCCCTACTTTTTTTTTTTTTTAAACATACAAGACAAAAGACTAACAGCCTAGTGAATCAGATTATTTCAACAGAACGTCTGATTCAAAAAGCTGTACAAATATACACACAGTTTCAACAGTCACACCAATCTCCTTATCACCAGCAACACATTGCGCAGTCACTAGGCCCAAACACACACACAGGATCCTCACATGCTCAACAATATCACGACGTCGCACACACGAAATTAAATCAAAAACCCACCAAAGACTATACACTTATCAATGTAACTATTATTCAAACCATACAACTATCCACGCTATTAATCCATATAAACTAACCGATCACATAACATTTCAACAAATTCATCTCTACAATTATCCGTACTATAAATCAACTTTTGACTAACCAACTATATCACATTCTAGTAACCTCATCTTTACAGTCAGTGGTTATGGTACAGTTAGTAAGTGGTTATAATACAGTTTTAAAGTCACAGATCAGTTAGTAACAGTTATGGTATTATACATATAACATAAAACAGCAATTGTTAGTAATTTTTACACAATGTCAGTGGTTATGGTACATGTCAGTAGTTATGGTACCGTGCGCTATTTTACAGTTATACACACAATTTACACTCCCACCAGACAGCAGAGCTCTAACTTTCTAGTAGGACATACAAGTTAACCAATTCACCAACTACAATATATTTAACAACATTTACAATAATCCCAACTATTCTAACTGGCCAGCACCTCGAGAGCTTTCGATCTATTTATACACCAGAGATTCGATAAGTTCTTCGCTGCCCAGACACCACGTATAGCGAACTAGAGGGCAGAATTTACACAGTACCCAGCTAGTCTATTAAACTATCAATAAGCTAGTGGCTGGATTTACAACAGAGCACACTTAGTTAAGATAGGGTGAAATCTAGCAAACTATAATATACAACAGAGTATGCTAGTCTCCCGGTCCCCCCGACCTAGCGAACAAAATTTACACCCTAGATACGCTAGTCAAGACAGGACACCGGTGTCCGACATGAGCTATTTACACCAGAACTCAGTCTGACCCAAACCACCTATATTAGACGGGCTGACTACAGAGCGTCTAATTTCCAGATAAGTGTTGCGCTGTTCACTTCTTCCATCCATCAGGACAGGGCAGATTCCAATAACCGGTTCCAAATATAAAACCCCTTGTGGGTCTACCGCTCTAACGGTATCAATCTTACCTGTTAGTTTCTGGACCTGGGTTCACTCATAGACGGAACAATCCGGGACTCATTGCGCAGAAGCCGATGATCACCTGGACAAAAGGCCAGTGGCGCCGAGACGAAAGGAGGTCCACGCAGTAGAAGTCCAGGATTGTAGCGTAGAAGGTTTGGTAAAAGTTTACCGTCTCAAATCTCTGCGCCAGCTTCCATGCAAATGAGGTTCCCGGCTTCCAATGCACCAGAGATGTTGCAGTGTAAGCATGCAGAAGCCAAACACAGAAATATTGGACACAGGTCTTCAGGAAGTAACAGGCCTTTATTCACATTACCGATCGGGTCTCAGATGAACTCCTGTTCCAAAAGATCTGAGAGACCAACACATAGTGTACATTCCTTATATAGCACTATAACTCCTCCCATTAATAGCTACACCCACATATACCTTTAACCAATCAATGAGCAGAATATAGACTTGTACATCTAGTCAAACCACATGGCTCATCCAAGACAAAGGAAATAAGTGCAATTTCAGTTCCTGCATTCCTGCACATGCTCAGTACACTGATGACAGTATCCTAGCTACATGTAGCTAACCAACTGACACAACATACACATATGCCACATGGAGATTTTGGCCTACTAAATTTTGACCATGCTGGAATCCCATCACACCATCTCAATCACGCCTCCAGCGCTCAGTTAGTACAGCGTTTGTGTGTGTGTCATTCTGTGTGTGTATCTCTCAGAGTGAATCTCTGTGTATATGTGTCTGTGGGCATCTTT